AGATAGATAGATAGATAGATAGATAGATAGATAGATAGATAGATAGATAGATAGCTGGATAGAGGGGGGTTAGATTTTAGAATAGGGTCAACAAAAGCTTTGGAGCTTGGAGCAGTGATTCTCAACTTGTGGGTCATGACCCCTTGGGGTGGGTGGCATATCAGATATTTATTTACATTATGATTCATAACAGTAGCAAAGCTATAGTTATGAAGTAGCAATGAAGTAATTTTGTGGTTTGGGATCACCACAGTTTGAGGAACTGTGTTTAAGGGTCGCAGGATTAGGAAGGTTGAGACGCACTGCATGCAGGGATAAAGAAGACCTATTTAGCTAAACTTTTAACCTTTGTCCCCTCTGCAGAGTCACTGGCCTGGTCTCTGGGCACAGCTTATCTCCCACAGTACGGATCCTGGAAAGGCTTGCTTTCAGGAATGCTCATTGTCCAGAGTTTGTTATGCTGCGCAGGGTTTGTTGGCGCTGAATTGCTTGTATCTCCTTTGGTTTTCAGTTCCAAAAAAAGTCTCTTATAACTGACCCAGCCCCTTTGATCAGACGACAAAGATAATACTTTGTTGTCATTTGCCTTGCTTACATATAATGCTAATTCTAGGCACTGTCTCAATCATTGTAACATTTTTCATCTGCCTGAGAGGTATACTTTAATTCTTACGTTTTTTCAAATGTTGGTGATTACTTTTTTTTTTTTTTTTTCAGAGCTGAGGACCGAACCCAGGGCCTTGTGCTTGTTGGGCAAGCACTCTACCACTGAGCTGAATCCCCAGCCCCACCCCCCTTTTTTTCTTCTTGTTATTTATTTTTTTTTTCAAAGCTGAAGACCGAATGCTTTAAGTATTATCACAAAGGTATTTTTCATTCTAAATTTCTTTGAATTTATTTATTTGTTTGTTTGTTTGTTTGAGACAGGGTGTCACTAGGTAGCCCTGGATGGTCCAGAATTTGCTGTGTAGAGCAGGCCAGCTTCAAGCTCACAGAGATCCACTCTGTATCCTGAGTGCTGGCTGAAAGGTCTACACCACTGTGCCTAGCCCAAGTGCTTTTAACTATCCAGCTGGCATATAGACCTAATACTGTAAACGACATTAGCCAGGTTGTATTGCCAGGCAAAGTGCATTTTCTACAATAGTTTCAGCAAGCTTTATGCTAATGAGTAGAACTATAGTTTAATCTTATACTAAACAAAATACATGATTAGGAAGTATTTATCAAGAGTGGAGGTCTTCATAAATAAGCATCTTGCATGGGGGAGGTTATAACTTTTAGTCCCAGAGCTCAACAAACAGGGCTTCCCTTGGAGCTTCATCTCAAGACCAGCTGTTTAGGGCATGCTCCAGAACATCTGCCCCTCGGTGTCATCTCTGGGATGGCATCATAGTGCCACCCATCTAGCAGTCACTGTGAGAACCAAATAAAGTAAAATACATGGCGTGAACATAGCACAATGTCTAGTGTGTGAGAAACAGTATCTATCTAGATGTTGTAGCTGGGGCATATTGTTTTCATTTTTGCATCAGCGTTTCTATCAACGCACAGGAGCTGTGTCTATTTGCTCAGCTCGAAATATGAGGCACTTAAAGTATATCTGAGCACTGGCGCTGCTTTTGGTCTGTCCTCTCATTTTTCCCTGCCGGTATTTCTGAGGGATCCCTCATCTCGCCAACAGGGCTGACCCTAGTACTTGGGACCTGTGGCCAGAGTACGCATAGGAACAGCAATGAGAATACTGTACAGTATTTGAAATATCTTCCACAATTTAAATTGTCCTGTAATCTAACCTATCTGACACCTCTGCCTCCCATGTGTCAACACACTCAGCTATGACTTGTTTTTTTTATTATGCATAGTTTTATTGTTTTTTAAAAAGATTTATTTATTTATTTCTTATTTATACATATTCTGCCTGCATCAGATCTCATCACAGATGGTTGTGAGCCACCATGTGGTTGCTGGGTATTGAACTCAGAACCTTTGGAAGAACAGCCAGGGCTCTTAACCTCTGAGCCATCTCTCCAGCCCTTTATTGTTTTCTTTTAAAGGTATAGCTCATACTTGGCATGTCTGGAAGCATTATCTATCTGAGCTGGTGTTATTGTCTAATGCTGTTTGGAGACTGGTGAATTCAAGGCAAAAGTAGAATGACAAAGATATTCCATGGCCTTAAATTTAGCTTTTCATCTAGCCCCAATTCTTCTAATCTCGCTATAATTTGTTTCCCTGAACTGTAAAAATTATAACGAAGTGGTAATTTCTTTAGCCTTTTTTTTTTTTTTTTTCAAAGAGACACTGGTAAACAAAAGTGTCATGCTGACAGATTAGAAGCCCTGAGGTTGGAAAAAGAAGGCCAGAACAACAGCAAAAAGCCCTAAGATTTTGAGCAGGAAAAACGCTGGGATGTTAGATGAAGGCTCCAGAGTACGGATCTTCAAGGGCTTTAGGATCCTCTGCTTCTGGGTAAGGATGGCATTCCTGGCTCCTTCCCACTGCCCGGGTCCAACTAGGCGGTACTGGTAGGAATTGCAGGGCCCAAAGTAGAGTTTCACAGCCAGTTTAGGGTCTTGGAAAAACAGAGAGATGAAGTCTGGCTTCGCACCTATCTCCAAGGCCAGTTCATCCAGGTAGTCAATGTAATTGGTCTGCAGAATTTGGCTGTGGCTTTTTCCAAACCTTAATGAAGTAAACAAAAAGTGCTGATTCATAAAATGTTCTAATTTGTATCTTATTATGAGGTACTCAAAAGCTGTTTAAAGAATAAAGAAATGAGTGTATGAAGACATGAGTTTTGAATGAATCTCTGGGAGGCTCCATCAGGAGGCTCAGCTTGATGAGTAGGTCACAAAATAGACAAATTCATGGAGACTCTAGAAATGTAATGATATTGAAGTGGTGACTTTTATTTATTACTTATTAAGCTGCGGCAAGTCTCTATGAGAGAATGTATGATTCAGAATTTGATGCAAAAACTCGAGATGGCAAGAGGTAGTGTCTTCCAGAGAAGGCATGCAAGGCAGTCTTCTGCTTTGCTGTTAAAGTACCCTGTAATCTGGCTGATGTCTACTAGATACTCTGCGTATGTTAGATGAGTTCGAATTTGAACATGAGATAACTCCTTTTGTCTGTAAGGCCTCAAGTCAGCTTCCCAAGAGTACTTGGTTACTGTCAAACGCTGTCCCACCTCAACCAAACTGACAAACTCAGGTAGGTTCTGAGAGTGCCTCAGGCTACTGCCACCACCACTGTTCCATCCCATTCCCTGACTGTGGGTGACCTGAGAGGATACGGGATCTCACATGAGCATCGTGGAAAATGGAAAATGAGATTAACCCAAGGGAAGATGTTCCAACTTGGCACTATTTTGTTTTTTGAGTAATAAGTTCTTAAACTAGGATGTCTAAGAACCGAATGAAAAATCATTAGATTACAAACTTTCAGTCTCATCTCTATAACCTCTGATCCCTTTGGACTGGTCTGTGACCCAGGACGCATCTTTATCAGCTAGCTATCTCTCACAGTCAGTCAGATCATGATGTTACCATGGCGTTATCATTGTGATACCCTACTCTGTGTAGAACATTTGTTATAAGGAAAGTGCTTACAGGTCAATTCTTCTTTCGTTCCTCCCAACAATGTCCGCCATCCTAGTTGTCTCCGAAGGCAAGCTACACAAGCCTAGAAAACAAAAACAATGTGCTTTGAATAGTGAGTGTGATTCGATGGCATTGATTTGTGTAGCAGTGGATTCTAAAATTTTAGCCATTTAGTCATGTCACACCAGGCAGGACCTCTATGCTTCTGAACTCTAGGGGGGAGACCTCCATAGCAGAGCAGAGCAATGGCGTTAACTATGAACTTGGAAAGCCAGAGAAGAGGCTGGAGAAGGGAAGCATGCCTAAGAAACTATGCCAGGTGCGGTGGGCTCTGTTCTGGCAGGGGCAGGACCCTGCAGTAGAGTTTTCTCTATGAGGTAGCAAGATTAGATTCACCCTTTGGGAGGATCCATCTAGCTCCTTGATTAAGGAAAGAGGGCACACAGGAGGTGAACTCACAATTATGGAGAAAAAGCTGAGAGCTGAGAATGGCCCCAGTTTGGCTACCTAAAATAGTGCAATGATCCTGTGTTCCTGTGTGTGTGAGCCTGTCTCCTGGGTTTAAGTGTCCTTTGGGCTTCAGAGGGGGAAAATGGCCGTATTCTTGCACATGGCCAGCCATCTGGCACCTCAGACTTTAGTAGTCCAAAGCTCAGTTTGCCATGGAGGCCCTCCTGTCTGTAGTCTCAGCCACAGTCTCCAGTGCTGGGTCCTGCAAGCTGTCCTTGAGTCTCCTTTCCTACACTGAACCATACAGCGTGCTCTGCTGGCTTTCTCCTTGACAATTTCTAACATGTATGTTCTCATTTCCATTTTGGCTCTCAGCTCTGGCCCAGGCTGCATCATACTTTAGCACAGAGGAATGCTGGAGCTTTCTCAGTGGTCTTCCAGTCTCTGTTCCCAATTATTAAAGCTGTGTTCCGAACTCCTGATGGAATTTCCTTACATGTGAAGTACACAATTCTTTTTCTTCCAGAATACCTCCTCCCCGGTGCCTCTGATGTAAGAACTTTCTAAAATGCAGATTCCAGGTTTTCAGGCCAGACTTAATCAGTATGGCTCCCGAAGGGTCGGGTAGACAGTTCTTGGATACGCTAGGTTTGGGAAGAACTGATTTATATTTTTCTTCTCTTTCTCCTCCTTCTGTCCCTCTTTCCCTCTATTCCTTCTTTCCTTCTAAGAAAGTCTTTCTGGAATCCCTAGCTGGATTGAACTTGCTCTGTAGGCACTGTGTCTTTTGCTCAGACAGTCCCCCTTTCTGTTCCTGACAAACCCAGTGATCGGGAAGCTTCCCTGGACCCCATGCCCTTCTGTCACCACGCCGAGTTCCTTTCCTTCCCAAAGCATGCTTTCTGACATCAGAACAACTTGTCAGGTTATTAAAAACGACTTTGTTTAAATTTCTTTCTGACGGAGCAGATCTCAGCATGAGGCTGTGGTGGTAAATGAGATTTTTGTTGAACAGAACTGAAGCCCTAAAACAGGAAAACAATAGCCTTCCAAGGAAGGTAAAGTGCTGCATGGATGAGAAGAGACAAACCTTGAAAACATTTTAAAACTTCGTCCCCAGTGAGCTGGCTCAGCGGGTGTAGTCATGCCTGTGTGCAGGCAACCTGGCATCTATCTCCATGTCCCACAAGGTGGCAGCAGAGAAACAACGCCCCATTGGGTTGCTGTCCTTTGTGCTCTCTCTCTCTCTCTCTCCCCCTCTCTCTTAAGTAAAGTTTTATAAAATAAGAAAAAAAAAAGTAAAAATTCCACTTTGCTGAACTCGTACGTTCCACTCACCTTTGAAAACTCTTGTCGCCCAACGCGCCTGAAGCTCTACAGTTGGGAAGATGGAGCCCAGAGGCTGGATGAGACCAATGCACGCAAGGGTAGGCTTTTCCAGTTGAGGCGGGAACATGGATTTGTACAGCGAGACCCTATTATCCTCCACTTTGACGAGCGAGTCTTCAAGGAAAGGGAAAGAGAACGTATACCCGGTAGCAAAGACAATGACATCAATGTCTTCCTCCACCGTGCCATCCTCAAAAACCACAGCCGTCTCCGTGAGCTCCTTCACTCTTGTTTTCACTTTGATGGCTCCGTACAGCATGCGACTGGGGAGATCGTCATTCAATACAGGTTCCTTCAGAAGGTATCTGAGGTGCACAGGAAAGAGCACATTCAGAGGGGCCTTTGACAGAGGAATCCTCAACGCCACCCCTCCCCCCATAGTTTTAGGGGTGGCTCTGAAAATACGGGACTTTGTTATTAGACTCATTCAAATATTCACAGTCTCTTCCCTTGATAAACAAAGGAAAGCAAGTCGACGATAAAAGTAAAAACAACTCCAAAGCAAAAGCATCTTCAGCGGCTTGGGTCTGATGTCAGGACCTACAGTTAATCTCTGAACTGGCTGCTACCTCTCTCAATTTTTATGCTACCTGGTTTTCATTATTTGGTAGTTTCCTTTAATCTCTACCTGATAATAAATAGGGGAAAATGCACCACGCTGGCAATGAGACCTACTGTGGAGTCAGTGTGAGAATCAATACATATAATGAAATTTGCCAATGTTTACTGATCCCAATATCCACAGAAACTCTGTTTGTGGCGGCATCTATTACAAGATGCTGACTGTCTTCCCCCTCCTCAGGGGAGGGGATGGTTACCAGCTGAAGAAAGGCAAACACCCACAATGTTTATTTTAATATCAGCAAATATTTATCTTTTGGCCATGAGGAAGGGATGTGTTCTCATAGGAACAGCCTTCAGGGCATACTGGTGGCAAAGGCTGACCTAGATGGAGAGCCATCTTTTCCATCATGGAGATTTAAGAGGATCACAGCTTCTTGAGGACCCTTCTCCAGTGCTGGACTGTCTTGAGTGTGAGAAAGCTCTTCCAATCTATCCCAACCCTGATTTCTGGAGCAGCTTCTAAGTTTATTCCAACCTCTTAAGCATTTTTGTTGTTGTTGTTGTTGTTGTTAAAGATACACAGTATAAATTTGGAGTTAAAACTCCAGGGCCAACATGATTACACATCTGCCTTACAGCTTGAACTACCGTGCTAGCAAACTGGGCCTTTGCAAAGAAAGGAAACATCGGGCAACCTTGCCTGTAATGAGCATACCACAAAGAGAAAAAATAACAGTACTTGTTGTGAGGCACCAGACCGTAATTTTCATGGTTGAACCATCGATTCATCCTTTGTTCCATCATCCACTTGACGATTGTGCGTGGCAGGACGTTTCGGAGCATGGAGTTAAATCTAGTGTGAAACACCATGTCCCAAGGGTAGCCATCTTCAGAGATTCGGCTCATAACCCAGGAACCGTGTCTGGTGCTGACAAACACCTGGTGAGCAGAGATTTCAGCAGCAGTTGACCCTTTGGGAGGTATCTCTTCTACAGGTGAAATGAAGGGTGTTTGGTGGCACAGTTGGCTCAGTTTTATTTATTGTATTGATTTGTGTTCAGTGTATGTGTGTTCATGTGTGAAGGTGTGTGAGTATGTGCATCTGTGTGCGTGTGTGAGGAGGTCAGAGGTCAACCTTGAGTGTCATCCCTGTTATTATCCATCTTGGTTTTGTTCTTTTGTTTGTTTGGTTTTTGAGATAGGATTCTCATTGGCTTGGAGCTCACCAATTAGGCTAGGCTGGTTGTCCAATGCCAAGGAATCTGCCTCTATTTGCCTTCCCTGCATGGGAAGCATGCATCACCAAGCTACCTTTTTTGCTTCCTTCCTTCTTTTCTTTCCTTCCTTCCTTCTCTTTTTTATTGTTTAATGGTCTCATACATTTATATAATAATGACTTTTAGTCATGTTCTTTTCCCCACTTCCCTCTCTGGTTCTGGGGGTCAAAGCCCAGGTCCTCTGCTAGTGAAGAAATCACTTTACCTGCTAAGCTATCTCTCCAGGCCCCAGGTTCCATTTTAAAAGTATTTGACCTCAAGGTGTCGTCCTCCTAGTTTTTCTACTTCTCTTTGGCAACTCTGTCCTGACAGGATTATCCAGTAACTTGCACCTACTGAGGAGTGCCCCAAAGCCCGGACAGTGTCCTGGAGGAATGAGAAAACCTTCGGACTAATTATTCTGACCAGTCCACCAGTGCCTCTCCTCCCCTCCCCTCCCCTCCCCATCCCTCCCCTCCCCTCTCCTCCCTTCCTCTCTCCTCCCTTCCCCTCCCCTCCTCTAACTATCCATCTGTCTGTCTGTCTGTCTCTGTATCATCTATTTTGTGTTTGTGACCTGCTTTGTCACCAGGCTGGCACTAACAAAATCTTGAATTGTGATTGTGAAGGGTCGCACCGTAACTCCTTTATTAATCTGCTGAGGAGACATGTTTGTTTTAGGCATCTCACACCCTTGGACTATTGGATTCAGAACTGTAAAGTTTGGTTTTGGTGTATTCACTATTGATAACAGAGACTCAGCATGTAGCTTAGGCTGGCCTCAAAATTGTGATCTTCTTGTCTCAGCTTCCCAGGGCCTGAGATTACAGGGTTTTTTTTTCTTTTCTGGCATAACCAGAGAGGTTTTCTACCTGTGGACATGATTATGGCTTCTCATGGCTGAGGGTTGGTGGTGTTGACAGGCTTCCGGCTCATGCCCTGTTGAGAGTGAATGTAATGGGAAAGAACCTCTAGTGTCCTCTGCTAGGCCTGCCTGTTTAGAAGGGATTTGTTTTCTGAAATTCCTGGTCATACATGTTGGTGCATGCCTTTAATCCCAGCACTTGGGAGGCGGAGACAGGCAGATATCTGAGTTCGAGGTCAGCCTAGTCTTTAGAGTGAGTTTTAGGATAACCAGGGTGACACAGAGAAATCATGTATCAATCAAACAAAAACTAACAGGACACTTTCTCACTAGGCCCCTTGGGTCAAAATTCAGCCTTCTGGACCAGGAACATCTAGTTGAAACTTTTCATTAAAAAAAAAAAAAAAAAGAAAAATAATGGAGGCACCATGGCTCAGAGAAACAGAACAGCTGGTTCTAGGATCCATGGCTAGTTAGTGGCAGAGGTGGGATTCAGGATCTGGTTTCTTGGCTCCTAGATTTCCTGTGCTATTACAACAGGCAGCCACCTACCCAGTAATGGACCTTTGGTGTACAACTGCGTGTTCCAGTCATCTCTCCCCACCCCTTCCTCGAAGTACAAGATAAGCCAAAGCTTCGAACCTGTGCGGCCTTCTTACTCAGCTCAGAGGCAATGTCCGCGGCTGAGTTTCCTATTCCAATCACCAGGATGCGTTTCCCCTCAAAGCCAGCTGGGTGCTTGTACTGGCGGCTGTGGAAATACTGGCCTTTGAACCTCTCGATACCTTCAGGAGGAAGAAGAGGGCAACGGTGAGCTTTCAAGTAAGCAATTATGAGAAGGAAATTTCAATAAAACTGCCTGGGTAGCTTTCCCCTTTTGAATTCTCACTTCTCTTACAGAAGTTACGATAGTCAGTTATCCAGTCCGGAATAAAAGTTCCATAGGAAATATAAGGTTCATGTGGGAGGGCTAAGTGTGTGTATTCACCAGCGGCAAACAAATGGTTTTGCTGTACAGCCTGGTGCTGGCTTCTCCCTAGTTATTCTATTTTGGACAGTCTAATGACACTCAACTTTCACATAGTAGGAACATTCAAGAACTATTTTGAAATAGTGTTATTGTAATCATGCAACAGAACAGTATTTATCATTTTGCAAAAGCCAATAAAAGTGAGAAGACCTAAAGCCAGGCCTGCAGAAGTTCCTCATTGAGTGCCTCGGTAGCCTTTTGATGGCTACCCATGTGTGTGTCTCTTTGTCCCCTTCTAGTTAGCCACTTTTGTACTTCCCAGGAACGTATGGCTTCATGAAAATGTTCTTTGCTTTCAGTGTGGGCACTTTTCATACGAAGCCTGGTTCTGACCCACTGTGGTGGATGATTCCCCTGAAGACTCCAGGAAGAGAGTGCTCTCTGTGGAAAGTCTGGGGCATCAGAGAGCTGGCTCCAGGGAGCTACTCCAGCTGTTGTCCCCTTCATCTCTTCCCCATCTCAGTGTGCATTTCCAGGAATTCTTTCTAGTAACCCTTGACAGGTAGGAAAGGCCCCAAGGATGTGGCAAATTTACGTGGGGTTGACAGGACAGAGCAAGCAGGATGGGTATATGGCTAAAAGGGCCTCTCATGGAGGATGGATTTCTTGTGAGAATTCTTTGACTTTCTAGGAAGAACGTAATGGTGCTGGAGGAAGTCAGCTGAGCTACACATGAAAACTCAGAGAAACCAACAGAAACAAAGATGGTGTTTGGCGGGTTTCTGTCCTCCACCTGTACCCCAATCTTACTATCATTCCCTTTTCATACCGGCAAACCCTGCCTCTATCCAAACCTCTTGTAAGATTCCTGGAAGCCTACTGCTCCAGGCAGCAAAGCCCTGCAGCCTCACCTGGAAAGGACTTCAGAGGCAGGTGAGGTTGGATGTGATGGCCGCTGCAAACCATAACTGCGTCAAAGACGGCACGTTGCTCCTTGCCATCGCTCTGAACATAAACTTCCCATTGCCCAGAGGATGTGAAATCTGGGCGTTTTTTCACACTAATGACGGTTGTCTTAAACAAACACAGAGAAGGCCTCATTAACTACTCTGGCAGGGCCCTGGAAGTAGGGATGGGGATGCGGTGAACGTAATGTGTAACCCATTTGTTTTTTTTTTTTTTTTTTTTTTTGAGTTCACTGCCAGCCTCTGAAGGCAAATTTTGGGTCCTTCTTATCCCTTGGCAGGCAAACACAGCATATCCTTAGAAGATGGTGATTCACAGGATGGATCTACCAGGAACTGGAGGGGAACCATCAGAGGTAAAACCGGACATTTTAACAGTATTTACAAATATAGATTCCATAAAAAGCAGCTGTTATAAATCAATATAACACAAGCCAGGTATTTATAAAGCTAAAATTGCTAAGAAAGTACAATGTGTTGAGAATAGGCCCCATTAATTTATTTATTCAGAAATGTGATTTCAGATTTAACAATGAACCGTGCTTAATGGTAACATGTGTTTCTTTGTTGTTGTTCCTGTTTGTAGAACGTACAGGAAATAGTAGTTTCAACTATAATTCGAAATGATCTGATCACCCTTCTGTTGCTGTTGAGTACATGCAGAGAAGAAATTAGGAGATAAATGAAAAGTAAGATAGGGTCCTTAACCTATTTCTATGAAGAACTAAAAAAAAAAAAAAGAAAGAAAACAGTTTGATAGGGTTTCAAATATCCTCTCAAGGGATGCGAGGCTTGGAGCAGTCAATGGGAGAATGGTTTAAATGTAGTTTTAACATTATTTTTGTATTTAAATCTTCAATTTTAATGCATGGTTTCCTTTCCTGTTTATATGTACCATCAAAAATATCAGGAATAATAAGACTCCTTTTGGAGTATGACACGATGCTTAGAATGTTCAACAAATCCACCAAAGGGGGTTGGTTAATTTCTTTCATTTACAGTCACTTTTCTATTTGAGTGTGACTTGAACCAAGGCAGGTAAATCCATTTCCCACCACATACAATACCTTAAACTGGATATATTTTAGGAGATCAAACTTCTTGGCAAAGATTCTGAAATATTCCAGGAGTTTAGAATTGTGCAGGAAGTTGGGAAAATCCTCCGGCATCGGGAAGTCGCTGAAGCAGGACATTTCTTTGCTGGTGTTGGTGATGACAGAGTGATAGATGCTAGCTCGGCCATCTTCCACGTTTTCCTAAAAGAACAGGTGAAATAACCAGTGGTAACGATTTTTAACACAAGTCTTACTTGTATTAAAAGTCTTCTTCTGGAATCTAACCCCTGAGCAATGTGAATCTCTTTCCCTGATGTATCCTGATTAAAGGGTCTGGGTGCTGAGAGGCAGCATGTGTTGGCTCCATCATTCTGTGTGATGAACCTGTTTATTGCCCAAAAATGCTGCTCAGTGGATGTGTTATCAGTGCTGCTGGGTTTGGGGTAGAGACAAGTTGTTTTGTTTTTCATCTACCTACTCAACACCAGTTTCTGTGAACGCTGCCTTCCTTCCTAAATTTTCCTAGGGAGGCTTTATTGACCCTCTGCCTATTAGGGATTAATAAATCCTGGAAGGTTAGACACAGAATTTAAAATTAAACGGGTGTTTTAGGAGCAGGGCGTCTTCGCATCTTGATTTGACCCCATGGGTCTTTATTTTGTGCTCTATTCAAATCAATTCTCCCTCAAGTAATAAAGGTGATCGGTACTGACACCAAATGTCATAGTTTCTGTCAACCTGATATACACTCAGACACCTGGAAAGAAAGAATTTTCAACAGAGGCACTGACCTGTGGACATAGCTGCAGGACCTTCTCCTGATGCTCAGCCCACTGCGTACTATGCCATATCTGGGCAGATGACCTGAGCTGTCTAAGAGAGCAAGCTAAGTGAGCTAGCATACAACATTCCTCTATGGTTTCTGCTTCAGTTGCTGGCTCCAGCCAGCATCCTGCCTTGAACTCGTGCCTGACTTCCCTTGACGATGGATTGCAATCTACAGGCAGAAACAAATCCTTTATCTCCAAAGAGCAAAGTCTGGACTAGTGTGTGCCTCTCCTCTGGGAGGCAGGGAGGTGAGAGGTGCTCCATAGCAGGGTGCATTGTTTTGAAGGATGCCATTAAGCCACAGCATTGATACTATCACAGTTCACTGTGGCATTGAAGGTTAATTAGGGAATCAGTTGCTCTGCTGATAAAAAAGAAGTGGCACAGTGACTCGCTATTACACATGGATGTCCTTGCAAGATGTTGTGCTTGATCTAGGTGAGTTAAAAAGAGCAAGCTTATGTGACTTACTCTTCATTGTCTGAGTAGAAAGTACCGTATGTATGAGGCCTCACTGGGTTTTAATATCAGGGTCACCTACAACGTGTTAGTCACCCTCAGCACAGGCTCTATAAGAGAAATAATCAGAACTCTTGTGAAGTGTAGATATATTTATAAACATCCTTCTATCTTACCCCCTCATCTTCTTTTCTCATTTGTTCATTGTTCATTTTTCTATTCTCTTGTGCCTATGATAGGACCTTCCCTATGAGTAGTGTGCTTATTTTTTTCTGGACTAGAATCTAAGCTCAGATAATAACTTTGTTCCAGTTGCAGGAGGCTCAGAGAAGAGTATGCAGTTTTTAGGGTCTCTGGATAGAGAGAGTTTGTGGTGCTGTTATTGGCAACTATGTATATGTATAGAATCCAAAACCATGTTACAGTAGAATGAACTGTTTTCCAACCTACACACAGGGATATGATGATTTGAACTTTAAATGGATGAGTAATGGTGCCTTTGTTTTCAAATGATAGCTTCAAAATTGCATAACACTACAATCATATTGTATAAACATTTTTTTCCTGGCTGTTTGGGCATAATTGAACACAATGTCCTTGGCAAGACTGAATACTTGGGTTTCTTAGGCACCACAGTCTTAAAATAGGAAATATTTCATTAAGCAAAGAAATGCTGTGGTTTTTTTTTTTCTTTCTCCCTCTCAAGGCTACATAATTTTGAGTTGTGCTGAGCACACAATAAGGATCCTGTGACTCTGCCAATGGGGCTGATCCCCACTGCTTCTCTTAATGCTTCTGCAAACACGGACAAGTTACACAATCCAGTTCCTTCATGTTCCCATGTGAAGTGGGATTGGTTAATGACACAGACATTAAACAGTTCTTACGAGGTTTACAGAGGTTAGATAACATGCTTAGCACAATGCCTGCCTCCAAATACGTGGTCAGTTAATCTTTGCCTCTCTCACTGTTGCTAATAGACTACGAGAAGGATCTTTACCAAGGCAGAAATACATTACACTCATCTTAACGGAGACTGTTGCATGGGAGCCAAAGCGTTAGGACTTTCCCAAGAATCAATACATTGCCTGGTGGTGCAATTGGGCTCTCTGTTGGGTACAGTTTTAAAGGAGGATTCGAAGATGAGAAGAGCTCCTTCCAATTTCTGGGTCCTAACACAGATTTTAGGGGCAGGCTGAAAAACTCTTTGGAAGTTTCACTTTTACAGATTATGACCAAAACAGTGACAGTATCATAGTCTTTTTCTGAAGAGGAAGAGATCATCTTTTTTGTAGAGTTGATTGGCAAAAACAGTGTTTTGACAAAAGCGATGCCTGGTTGGGAGTAGTGGAATGCTTATCTAGCATGTCTAAAGCCCCATGATGTCCCTGCAACCCTCCCCCCATGCCAAATTCTTTGTAAGAGCTTCTTCATGCCTTTAGTTGGCTGAAGTAGAAGTCTATGTGTGGACAAATGTATGTAAAATTAACATAATTTTGACAGTTGTAAAGGGATGATAATTAATACTGATTTAAGAAACAGGTACTAATCAAATACTTATCTTGGCCAAGCCTGAGCTGGGAGTTGGGGACAGGAAGTAAACAATACAAGAATAGTTTCTGTCTTTGTGGATCTTATTACTCTACTGAATTGAAATACATCTGGATCTTAGAGCTGTGAAAGTGAAGATGGAGGTAGGAGAGAGACTAGGCCTCTCTGCTAGATAAAGACACACACCCAGAGAGCCTTCCAACGGTCTTCCCACCCCCATGTTTACTGAGATGAGAGTGGTTTACAGTGATATTTATGCAAAAATAAAAACAGCCTGATTTCCTTACTAGTCGAATTTGCTATAGTTAACTTGTTTAAGATACACACATATATATATTTTGTTGTTAAAGGCTTTTGCTAATTTGTAATGTTCAGAATTTCTTAAAACCATATTAGTGGAACTGAGTGAATTCAGCAAGAACTGGCTTTGACTCTGGGAAAATGAAAAGGTGTTAACATCCGAAGTTTAGAAGGATGACTATCAAGGTGAAAAGTAACTACTTAGGACCTATAAAATGAAAGTAAACATCTTAGAAGTGAATGATAAATACCTGAAGTTAGCCCTTTTCTTGATGAAGCGCCATATTGGCTTCACCAATCTCACTCAGAGAAAGAGAAGAGTAGGAGAAACACACACACACACACACACACAGAGAGAGAGAGAGAGAGAGAGAGAGAGAGAGAGAGAAGATGGCAGTGGAAAGGGGAAGGGAGAGAGAGGAAAGGCCAAGGGCAAAAGGGCAAGAGGAACCAAAATGTCTGGATTATATAGTGAAGGGCTTATGGGAGAGGGAAAACTCCAGTCCACCGCAAGGTAGGTCAGGGTACACCAGCCACGCCCTGCAGCAGGCAGAGACCTAACAATTGTGACTCTCTGTTCTCACAGCAGCAGATTTAAGCTCCCATACCCTTTCACGTGCTAGTTGTTTTGCTTGTAACTGTGTTTCTCCATATTCACACGATCCCTGCTAATGGTCAGGACAAGGAAAGCAATCACAGTCATGGAAGCCACCTCTACTCTCTAGAGATCCTGTGCTTCTGAAACAGCCTCAGCAAAACTGTACCCCAGTAGGGGCCATCTTTAGTGATTCTTTGTGAAGTACACACACCTGTCAGCAAAGATTGTGCATTGCTGTTTTCAGCACTTAGTATAGCATCAAGCGCTCAGTTAGGACATTTGTTGAAAGAATGAAAAGTATGACTGATGTCAATCATTAGCATTTTCTGTCTTTGCAAAAGAAACTTGATGGTATTGAATGGACATCAAATAGCATAAGGGACAAAAAAAACGGATTTTCTGATAGCATACTATAAATGTCATTCTATTTTATGCATAAAAGCTTTTTTTTTGCCCCTTTCTTTGAGGAACTGGGATTAAGCTCAGAGCCTTATGCATCTAAGTACATACATGTGTTCACACACTGATATATTCCTAGTATTTTATGAAAAAAATTGCTTCGAGTCAGGGTCTCACTAAGTTGCCCAGGTAGACGTTGGATTTATGATCTTAGCTCAGCCAGGTTCTGGAGTAGCTCAGATTATAGGCTTACACTACCAGCCCTGGGCTTAAAACTTATTATTTCTTTGGTTGTTGTATTTTGTTTTTGTTTCATTTTTTTTCCTGAAAGTATACGTTCTTCTTGTCTATGCATGCAAACATCACCTCTTCAAAACTCTTATCAAGAATCAAAGTGTATTTCACACAATTAATAACTATGCCTATATGACCATAGTACTACATATTTGACTGCCTGGAGAGGTACACCTAGGTTATGTGAAACATGATGCCATAAATAGCCACTAGGATGTAAATGCCTGTTATATTGAATTATGCTGTGATAAGTTTATTTAAGAAAGCATTTCAAGTTCTGCAAGGGTAAGACTGACCGTCATCTCTTCTGGAAAGGACACGAAGGAGCCTGATTAATGTTATGTCCTAAGTGTACAGAATGGGCTGCTAAACAGGCAGATGCCAACTAAAACTGTGATAGACACAAACAATAAATGGAGCAAGGACATGTTAGGGTCAGTATAGAGGTGGCACCGAATGAAAACCTCATTTGGCAGCTACTCCTTGTACCTACTTTATCTTTTTATGATCAACATTTTGTTTGTTCAACAAACAAAATGTATGATCAACATTTTGTTTGAGACAGGAGATCACTGTGTAGCCGAGGATGGCCTCAAGCTTGTTTTGTAGCCCACGGTGGTCTTGAACTGGATATCCTTGTGCCTGAGCCTCCCAAGTGTAGGAATTACAGATCTGGATTATCATGCCTGGGCTTGGGATCAATATTTTGGTCAATAACCTTGACAGAGATAAATTTAGTTGACAATATTTTTGTATACCCCAAAGAGGTTGGTTTAGCAAAGATGACAGAAAATTGAAATTTCGAATAAAATTTTCTTGTCCAAGATCAAAAAACTAAATAATGTTTAGTATTTATAGATGTGAACTGTTTTTCAACAGAGTTAGAAACCCATTCCACAAGCACAGGAAAATAATGGTGTGGGCTAACAGTTGCTCAGATGGAAAAGACCCCAGGGTTTTATTTGAGGGTTCCAAACTCAATATGACTCAGCAACATATAGAACACTCCCAGGAATGTGAGGGGAAGCATGAGGTGATGGGGAGCCTGCTCATGTTTGCTCTCAGTGTTGCCACTGATTGGGAGAAAGATTTATATTTCTTACCAGCCAGTCACAAAGGGTAAGATGTTTATCTTTGGCTTTATAGGCAAATCAGGTTTATTAATAAATAACGTGGAAGGTTTTTATGAGTATGAAATGGCTGATCTACATGAAAATGCCAACGTTAGTCTTGTTTTGTAAATGCAGAAGATGTAGCATTAAATTGTTCTAGTGGGAGTGTGGGTATCCAGGTGAAGTACAAAGTGAATCAAGGTGGCAAGACTTAGCCCATCGATTACATCGAGGGAAGTAACCATGTGTGATTCATTGGTTGATGCCTACTGCAGTGTCCAGCAGCTCTCTTATCTCGAAATAGAGATGTTCAAAAGAATTTGTCAGTTTGAACTAGTAAATATTGGGAGAGTCACATGTCATATGTTAAGGTAATATTTCAGGGCAATTATAGATGAAAGAAACGGAGATGGAAAGAAATCTATAGACCATTATGTGAAGGTTAAGTAAAATAACTTGATATGTTTTGCTGGGAGATAGAAGATCCATGTATAAAAATTCCCAACAGGAAACAATATATATTAGCAATTTCCCTTTGACAATAGGGTACCAGTAGCAGAATGGCTGTAGAAAAATCATGTTTTGTTTTCATTTTCTCTCCCAATTCTTCAGTAAATGAGGGCCGAAGGACTCACACAGACCTTCATTTTTGTTCTTTTCTTTCAGCTGTGTTCCTTCTGGCCAAACTGTTTATCACAAAACTTAGCTTCCTATTCAGCCAGCAGTGAGGAGAATTTTAAGACCTGCCCCCTAAGATATGAAGAAAAAGAATGCATGCCAAGTGCTTCTTACCTGAAGAAGCGCTAAAGCTATTTAATTAACCACCCTGCCTGTATCCCAAAGGTGACACCAGGGGGTGCTGGAGAACCTTCCAGAAGAATTCGGCACCATGTAAGCCAGGCAAGGGGCAGAGATTCAATTTTAATTTTTCTGTTTTGTTTTTAAGTTGTTTGCATTAGATGTGATCACAAAGGATTCTGTGTCAATGTGGGAATCAGTTAATAATCTATTTTAGAGCCAGTTTTGGACAGTGTAGCTGAGAGGAGGATGAACATGGAGGCCCATACCATCCTTTCCAGAGTCTTCTCCTCTTGCAAGTCCAGCTTGCTGGTGTTCAAGATGCTCATGTGGCCCAAGAGGCAGCCTGTGCAATTTTCTTAGTATATCTCTCTGTAAAAAGGACACCTTTGAGAGGTGAAAATTCTTTATCTTTTTCCATTGTATTGTAGTCTTAAGAGAGAGTTTGGCGTGTGACATTATAGGTGCTAAGAAATGATATATTTAACTGTATACAATAAGAATTAACTAATTTGTGTTTTACTCTAATTTCCCCCAAATACATAAGAAACTATCTCTGGTTCTGAAATGTGATACACTGTCATGGAGTCATGGACGCGCTATGGGGTAGGAACCACCTTCCCAAAATGTATTAGATCATATTATTCAAAGTAAACTTTCACCTATCTGGCTAACAGATTAGTGACAAATAAGAAACACTTTGTGCTTAGATATTAAGGCTTATACATTAAATCTGTTTCAGGCCATTGAAATGGCTCGTGGGCAAAACTTCTTGTTTGTTTGTTTTGAGACAGGATTCTTCTGTATAATAGCTCTGGCTGTCCTGGAACTTGCTCTGTAGACCAGGCTGCCTTAGAGCTCAGAAAGATCCACCCACCTCTGCCTCCTGAGTGCTGGGATTAAAGTGCTGGGTGTGCCGACCGGCTGGTAAAACTCTTAAAGGACAAACCCAATGATGTGAATTCAATCTCTGCAACCCGTGTCAGGGTGTAAGGAGAGAACCAGTTCTAGAAAGTTGTTCTCTGATCTTTTCATGCATGTTGTGGCATACACATAACACACACACACTCACGCACACACACACACATGCACATGCAATACCAATTAATAAGCAAAAGTTAAATTTGTTATAATTTAAAATATATGGAGATACGAAAGAAAATCCTGTGTATGAGCCTACAGTGGAGAAGATAACAAGCTATCAAACTGAGGAATGACCACACATTACTTTCTTGGGAAAAGTTGTAATTCTAGCAACCAGTGGTTATCAAGATACTGATATCATTTCTCTCTATAAAGCTGCTCATCTCAAAAAAGGTCAATTTCTACATCATTAACTCTGTGTTTCCATTGTTGGATGAATACACTTTTACTTGGCAGCTGTGTACTGTTTGCCAGTTGATTCATTACTAAAGGCTTCATCACTTCAGGAGAGTTTGACTCTGTGTATGTGGTAATGAGTATATTTTCATTTTGAGACAGGTCATGTAGCCCAGGCTGATCTCAAGTTTCCAGTTCCCCTGCTTCACTCTCTCTAGGCATGGGACGCTAGACATGTGCTCTGACTATCAGAAGGGAACACAAATATTTACACTCACAAGCCATAAGTCTTTATAGTTGTCTATGAACCTGTTGATAAAATTTTGAATGGAAGCTAGTATTGTGAAAATTTAGGTTGGATAAATAGAATGGCTTTGATTAATAGAGAATACCTAATAAAGGGGTTCATATCAGTTATGCGAGGATATAGCCAGAAAGCCCAGTACATAAACATGATTTGTTTTCCAAAGAAAAACAAAGTCAGGAGTGATAGGTGCCCATTCTCTGAAGAAACGTTCAGCTCAACAAATAGAAATGGTGTCATAAATACAATTCTAATTACTTCTAGTTCATAAAATGCTCTCTAATATTAGTATGTTATTTAATCAGCATATCGGAAAATGGCAAAAACATGGGCTCTTCTATAATAGCTAGGCTTTAAAGAGAAGGCTCCTTACATCCCCGAGTTGATCACACAGGTTGGCACAGTATTGACCTGGGAGAGATTCCAGGCTGAGTTCACATCCTGGTTAGCTGCATCAATAAATAAAAATAAAATTGGATCAAAGTTGCTTAAGAAGTCTTTCAGTAAGGCCCATCAGTCGCCTTGCAACTTCAGGGTGGCCTATTCTAAGATAAGAAAAGTCTCACTTACCTTGAATCTCCACAGTCCTCCGATGTCTTCAGTCCTCTCAAAGCAGGTGGGTTCCAGACCCTCATCCACACAGCACTTGAGAGAGATCAGGCCACTGACCCCTGCTCCAATGACTGCAACCTTCTTTGCCATTGTCTCCTGTCAATGAGTTGATCAGTCATTACTGCTTAGCTAGAACAAAGGTAAGACAATCCTACAGTGTGGTCAGGTAACTGCCTTTCCATACTATTGGTGGTAATTTAATAAGCAGTACTAATTGAATAAAATGCTTCACTAATCAAATCTTCATCTTTTCTTCTCCTTAAGGGAAACTTGTCTGATCATATGACCCGTCATTGTAAACTTGTTTACAATGTCTTGGCTTAATAGTAAGAAGAAATCCTTTTAAGCACGCCAAGTTATTCAACCAAGAAGTCCCTGGGGTTGTGAGCCAAAGCTGCTTGTATTCCCTAGAGTCCTGAGTGCTTCCTTCTCAGCATTTTCCCCCAGCCGCCATACCTACCTTTATTTGTGATTTTCAGCACTGTCCCTTTGGCAGAAGAGTGTCCTCTGTGGGTTGTGTCCTGAGAGATGGGAGTTTTTAAGAGGTGGAAGAGGCTGTGAGACATGGGAGGAGCTTTCCTCATGCTTGAGCGCTTTGCCAGCTGAACCTCCCAGGACTTTATTAGCACCGAAGTTAAGCAAGAGTTCCACTTCCTAAGGTCAAGAGCACCGAACACAAAGCATACGGATGGTCTAATGATTATTTTTATAATCAGTGTAGGAAATGTGCATTAACAAATTGAGAGAGCAGATAAATGAAAAGAAGTTTAAAACCATCCCTACTATAAACCTCCAGAGATACCTACAAAAACCACCATAACATTTTGGGAAGTTATTCCACCTATATGTGATGTGTAAATGCACCCATGCACACACTTAAGCATAGAGGTAGAGGCCAGAGGTTGACCTGAGGTGTTTTCTTCAATTACTAGTCACCTTATTCTTTGAGACACGGTCTCTCACTAGCCTTGGAACTCACCAATTCAGGGGGACATTCTGTCCAGTGAGTTACAGGGATCCTTCTACCTCCAATTCCCCGGTGCTTGGTTCTAGATGCATGCCACTGAGGCTGGATCTTTATGTAGCTGTGGAGGATCTGAACTTGACCTTTTATGCTTGTGTGGTAAGTACTTTGTTGAATGAGCCATCTTCTTTTCTCTGCATTTACTTGGTCATATGTAAACACATATAGCAAAGCAAAAATGTAATCATACTCCAAGTGTAATTTCTGACTTAAATTTTCACTCTACTCAACCAGTAAAGTTTACACAAGAGCATTAGTTAATGGTTGCATCGATTTTGTTTTGCCAGTGGTGCTAGCCATTCATCTAATAATTATCATTTTTGTGTGGAAAGTGTTATTTCTTACGTAGCACTATGCGGGCATGAGTAGACTGTGTCCTTAATGTCACGACATTTCATTCTATTTCTGAGCTGGTTTTTGTAGGCTTCATAAATTCTGGCTCTTAGCACTCTGTGGTTCCCTGTTTCTAGCCTAGATTTATTTCTTGATTGATTTCTCTGCTCATCTGTTTGTTGGCATGGCTGAACCTATTGGGACTCTAAGATCTCCCTGGGCACTGCCCTCCTTGACTTGGTACAGGTAGGACAGGATAACCCTTTTTTTGCAGTTCACTGTCTTTGATTAGTATTAGCTTTTAGCAAGAGGCCAACTCAGAAAGCTGAAGGGCTCTGTGTAACTTGGATGTAGTCAAAACAGTGAACATAAGGCTTCCTACTTTCTGGCTCTGGAAGGCCAATGTCTCTGAGGAGCCCAGTGATGCTTCACACAAATTGACTAACTAGAGTTCAGACGCTTCCTAGGTGCCAGACACTGTTAAATGCTGCAGATGCTGACCTGAACAAACAGCAAAACTTCCTGGACTTGTAGACCTTGGTTCCTAGAGGAGGGGCCTCAGTGAGTACACTGAAAAAAGCAGTAGTTGGGGATGAGAGCTGTGGGGGAAAATAAAGCACAGAGGGGAGCTGTAGAGTGTCAAGGTCAAGGGCAGCTTTATAATGTCAAGTAAGGTGTCAGGGAACGTCATTTTCTCTAAAATGTACCAAACTGAATGATGACAGGCATCTCTTTAATAAACTGAGTGACTATGTGTGATGAGAGTAAAAGACCTGTCATGGGGACTGTCAGTGACTAATATAAATATACAAGGCACAGTTCTCAGCTACAAAGAAAAGGGGCAGTCAGATGAGATATTTTTCAAATAGCCCACAACTAATAATGAAGAAGATGGTCCCTCCATTGTGTATTCACCATCATCCTTTAACTGATGATGATACTTTAGGAGGCCATGGCTCCTAAGTATAATTGTATCTGACCTTTATACATAGAAGGAGAAACATCTAGATGTGCTAGACAAATTTTAACTGATAGAAGCCTTGGGAGAGGATAGAGACAGACGGTGTGATTCTCATGTGGAAACACCAATGGCATTTTTCTTTTCTTTTTTTCTTTCTTCTTTTTTTTTTTACTAACCTAAACCGATGCCTTTATTCACAGCCAAAGCACTGGCATTCTGGCATTTCGACATTAGCACCAGCTGGCAGGCTTGCTTTGCAGAGGTAGTTCTGGCTGGCAAACGGTACTCAGGCTTGCCTTGTACTGACAAGCTCCCAGGGAGAGTGCATGGATACCCAGAGTGAATCAGTGAGCCCCTGGGCAGTTTTTGATTAGTAGACCCGTGATTGTTTCAAGTTTTTGCTATTACAAGAGCACAGTGCACATTTTAATAAATCTCTTCCACACTTGACTAATTATTTTCTCTGAATAGATATTTGAGGAAGGAATTGCTGAGTGAAAGCATTTGAATTTTTGAGGCTAAGGCATTCCTCCAAGTTTCATGTGCATAGGGAGCACTTGGAGATCTTGTTAAAACAGGGCGGGTTTTTAACAGCTCTGAGGTGGGTCCAGATTTTTTCTAACAGGCTTCCTTGTGACTCCAGGTGTGCCCATATATATATATATATCAACTTTACATCCCAATAATAGCCCTTCCCTTCTCTTCTCCAGGTCCCACACTCCCTCCATCTTCCCCCATCCCCTTCTCCCCATTGCTCAGAAAAGGAGAGCTACCCCTACCAACCCATTCCAGCACATCAGGATTGAGAGAATCCTCTTCTCCTGTGGCCTGGTGAGGCAGCCCTGCCAGGGAGAAGTGTTCAAAAAGCAGGGAACAGAATCTATGTCAGATATAGCCCCCATTCCACTTACTAGGGAACCCACATGAAGCCCCAGCTGCCCATTGGCTACATCTGTCTAGGGGGCCTATGTCCAGTCTATGTATGGTCCTTGGTTGGCACTTCAGTCTCCGAATGCCCCTCTGGGCCCTGGTTAGTAGGCTGTTGGTCTTCTTGTAGAGCTCCTGTCTCCTCCAGGTCCTTCTATCCTTTCCCCCACTTTTTCACAAGACTCTCTACATTTTGCCCTGTGTTTGGCTGTGAATCTCAGCATCTGTTTCAACCCACAAGCAGATATATTTTTAATGGTGTTTTATAGTTACTAAGCATAATGAACTGTAAAAATACTTACCCATACATTACTTTATTTTACTAGCCCAGGTCTATAAGCTCTGCCACCCACTTCTTTATAGAAGTGGAAATGTATTCTGTATTATCAAGGAGTTTAAGAATAGCCGGGAGAACAGTAAGTTTCTTAAAACATATTATCATATTAGAAACTCCCAAGAAATGTTCTGTTTAGCCAGGAGAAAATTTCTCAAGTCAAGAAGCTTGATTGTAAGACAAGATCACACAAGCCAGTGTTAGTTAAAGTGAAAGTCTGCCTAGGACCACAAATATAAATGCTCCAGAAAACCTGAGTTTACTTTGCTCTAAGGAAGAACTTTCTAGCTAAGAGTGCTGAACAAATATAGAGGGGCATTCTGTTAGACTGGGATTGTCTGTTGCCATGCATACACAAGCAGATAAGCTGATCATGTGTTCACGTCACATGGGGTGCTGGTGTGTGAGTGGGATGTACATGGCTAAGACTAGGGCTGAGACCAGAAGCCTTGCTGTTACCAGTCACTGCTCTAAATGCGAAGATGCTGAGGAGGCTGTGGATTGGAAAGCGCTCTGTATATTGTAGAGACTAGAGAGCCCTTTTCACAGACCCACATGCTTGGGTTGCCTGGAACAACCCTTAAAACATTCTTAGAGTGGGTCTCCTAGTAAGGGGAACAGGGATTTTCTCTGACATGAACTCAGTGGCTGGCTCTTTGATCACCTTCCCCTGAGGGGGGGAGCAGCCTTGCCAGGCCACACAGGAGGACTATGTAGCCAGCCCTGATGAGACCTGATAAGCTAGGGTCAAATGGAAGAGGAGGAGGACCTCCTTTATCAGTGGACTTGGAGAGGGGTTTGGGAGGAGATGAGGAAGGAAGGGTAGGACTGGAAGGGAATGAAGGAGGGGGCTACAGCTGGGACACAAAGCGAATAAACTGTAATTAATACAAAAAATAAAATTTAATTAAAAAAAAAGATTCTTGGAAGAGTCCATATCCCCTTCACTGAGAACTCCTGTGAGAATAGCCATCTTTTCTTTTTCCTTTGTTTTTGGCTACCTGTTATTTATCTAACAGAGATTTTAAAACACTGTTGCCCTTGCTGAGGAGCAAAGAACGGGGAGATCAGGTTCTCTCATCAAACTACGTTAGACCTTGGATGATCCACAAAGCAAACTAGTTCTTCTGTAGATGAGCTTGCTCATCTGAGATTGCTGAGCGATGCCTCCAGACCCATCACTTCCTGTATGTCCTTCATTTTCTGGAGCAGTACTTGAAAGAGATAATCCCCTTGGAGCTTCAGGATCAGAAGAATGAACCAAGCTGTTTACTTCCCTTTTGATGCTTCAGCAGAGTGGCACGGGAGATTGGCAGAAGTTGCCAGTTGGTCTGTGAAGCCCTGAGTCAGGGAAGCATTCTGAGACCAGGCTTAGGAAGAAGTTTTATTGAGATACTATTTAAATATCATATTATTTCACCAGTTTCAAATGTAAAATTCGGTGGTTTGCTAAATTCAAATTTTCAGAGTCTTCACAAAAACTAATTTTAGAACAATTTTATACCTCCATAAGAGAACTGATGTGTCTGTTAGTCAGTTTTTATTTCCCATCAACCAGTCAGTTTTCTACCCACAGCCTTAGGTACTACTAATTTATTTTCCATTTCTATAAATTTTCCTTTTTTTATTTTTTGAGACAATATCTCATTGTGTAGCCCTGGCTGGACTTGACTTTATTAGACTAGGTTAGCTTTGAACTCACAGAGATCCACTTGCGCCTGACCTCCTAGTGCCGGGATTCAAGGCGGCAACTACTGAACCTTTCTAGATTAGCCTATTTTGAACATTTCATATAATTGGATCATACAATCATGCCTTTCAGTTACTGATTTTTTTTTTTTTTTTTTTTTTTACTTACAACAGTTTTAAGGTTCACCTATGTTGTAGCGTGTATTAAGGCTTCATCGGTTTTTCTTGTTGAACAATGTTTTATTGTATGGATAC